ACAAGATTGGCTTTCCAGAGTTAGAATTTATTCATATTTTTTATATTTAGACTTGTATAAATTCTGGAAAGACAATTTTCCTACGGGAAGTGCTGGCAAATTTCCTTGGTTTAGAGGAGATAGATTATATTTTGACAGGTGGTGATTCAGGCGATCCACACAGAATAGGTGAGAGTCTGTAGTTGATCTACCTTTAGCTTAAGCATTTGGTTTAAAAGTAGACTTAGGTTTAGCTTATAAGGAGATTTTGAGGAAGGATGTATTATGGAATTGTATTTTTAGCTTGGGAATTGGTCTGTCGTGTGTTACAGGTTCTTTTGATCTTGTGATTCGAGATCAGGATTAGATCCAGCTTGATCCCTCGAGGATCATCATCTGTTATCACTGATAACAGGTCGGTTGCCGATTCGTCAGTTTACGACTCAATTTCAACTCACCCTCTACTCTCAACCTAAAAGGCTTTAGCCCTGGTGAATTTTATTGTTTTATTAAGGTTTCACCCGGACTTTTATTGAATGGCCATTTAACAAAGGTGCTGAGTATTTAATTAAGGTTGGTTGGACAGGAGGTTTGGGGCTTGCATGGCTAAAGTGAGGGGTATGCGCGTCGAAGGTGGTTGGGGTTGACTCCGTGTAGTGTGTGGGCTGTTGATTTGTTTTCGTTGGTGTGATGGCAGGTATGTGTTGTGAATCAGATTTCTGGATTTGGTTGCCTGCGATCACACATATACGTATTACTGTGAGAAAAACCCTGCCAAACCATGAGGAGCGATCGTCACATATTTGACCCTTATATATGTATAAATGGACATGCTTGGGATGAATGTTTGCATGGGTTGAAGAATCCCAATATTACAGCCCCAATCAGAAGCTGGGACTGAAGAACCTAAGGGAGGCCCCTACTTCTATTTTTATTCTTGTTTTTTTAGGATTTTTCTTAGTCGGACGTTTGGTCCTGGGTTGGGATTCGAGGTCCTTGTCCAGGACATCCCCAGCCCTCGGCTCTGCAGGGGAGGGGCTTTCCCTCGTGCAAACCCTATTTGATTTGCCTACCGAGACGCTCAGATCAAGAGCCTAAGGCGTAGAGGCGGCTGCACGACTATTTCTTTCAGCCGTGCAATGTCGTGAAGGGTTAGGCCCTCACGACACTTCAAGTCTGACACTTGAATGTCATAAGCGGTACTCGGATCCACGAGGGACCGCTTGATAATGGGTATTACATAGTACGCCATCATTGCGACTGTTTGCGTACGTTTGCATTGCGAGTCGATATGAGTAGGTCCTGCGTCCGCACGTTTTTATCCTAAAGTCTCGCGCGCGACGGCTAGTCGATTTTGCATCGGAAAGTTATGGGACGGCTACCGAGGGGCTAAGAGCGTTGTCGTGTTGTTTGTGTCGTGTCGTTTCGTACGTGTGCGCGTACATGTTTTATGTTCTTGTGTTCGTAAAGTGGAGTGCGCGTGGTGTGTGGGAAGCGTCCTAGTCGACCGGCGATGAGTCGCGCTTGGGACCTCAGCCCCCCGCAATGTGTCGGTTCGCGTACGGGTTCAATAGAGGCGTATTACCGCGCGTACCCCCTATGCTACAGCGAACGAGAAACGCCCTCGGCTGGTTCACCTCTGCGACTGCAGCTGATTAGCTTTCGTATTGTGGACTGGTAGCTCGGCGGGGATACGCCCACCGAAGGGAGGTGACAGCTCCCGTAAGGTGTAGGTAAGTCGNGTAAGTCGTGCCTCGCGTAGGCCCTATCCTGTCGTAGGGGCTCGCGAGAGGTATGGCTGGCGCACCCGGCCGGAGCGGCTTGTGGAAGCTCCGTGTATATTTGCGACGAAGGGTTGTAAGAACCAACTCCTGCGTGACGCGGCCGGGAGGGTCCCGCGCTGCCCCCGTGCGGTGCCGGACCGATTGCGCCCGACAGGTGGCGCCGTTGTCGGGGATAACGGTTGCCTGCCGTTGTCCCTGGTGGAACGACATCCGGGTATGAGAAGTGAACGAGAAAAGGCATAAAGAAATGATGAGAAGGTAAGGACAGATAATGAATGACTAAGTGTAGGTGAGGAAATTACCTACCCGAGTAGAGGAAGTATGAGGGACGATCGTGTTAACATTGGATAAAGTAAGTACTAAGGGTTAGGTAGGAATGATGGAATAGACCGGTTAAGGTCTAAGTTGAGTAAGGGGATGTGCTTGTTTTTCTTTTGCCAGGGAACTTAAAAAGGAAAGGCTATCAAGATGCCTGAGACTGGCGGTGCATCAGTTGTTCCCAAGAAGGGCCTGACACTCGATGACCTCATCGCGGCCATCGACCGACATGAAAGGAACCCGAGCAACATCCCAAAGGTCGATACTTTCCATTTTTGTGGGGAAAGAGTCTCGAAATGGCTGGAGCGGGTGGAACAGGCTTTGGTTGGGCGGTCGGACATTGTAAAGTTTCAACGCATCCTCCGATATGTCCTACACAGCTACCATCAGGAGGTGAAGAAAGTCATAGATGCGGCTCAAGGTAGCTGGGAGAGGTTCAAGGAGGGGATGCAGAGGAAATACCGCCTGGGAGACGGGTTATTGACTACCACGGACCTTGAAGCGATGAACAAAGAGGATTTTACGACTATAGGGGCCTTTGTTCAAGAATTTAAGAGAAGGGCGCAGAAGGTCCATGGGATTTCAGAGGAAGCACAGTGCGCCATCTTCCTGGGGCTACTCACGGCATCGGAAGCCGTCGAGTTGACGAGACATGGAGGAGGTAGCACTAAGCTCACCTGGGCCACCATTGATAGAGGGGTGGAAGTGGGATGTTTGGACCAGGTCGAGCAACGTCAGGTACGCCTGCAAAGGCAGAAAAGAAAGGAAAGAGATGCGACTGCTTCTGGGACCCCGGGGGTAACAAGGATTGTTACAGACGTATTGGCACAGCTAGGGTATGCGACAGAGCCGGTGGTGCA